GACGCATTTCTCTACTAGAGAGGTGTTTTTGTGCAAACTGTCAAAGACAGGTGCAAAGTGAAAGTTTCGATCATAATTAAATGAAATATGCAAAACCTGTACATTATTAGACTCTTAAGAAGATTTGGGTAGACGTTGATGCTATTTATCGGTGTGCTCTTTGGTGACATGTGGACGTCATAAAAACATAGCATGGCGTCAGGGCTTCCTCACATCCAGGGATCTCGTCATTCATGTGAAACTAGTGGTGTGCTGCTGGGATTAGATGTGCAGATCTAAGTAGGAAACGTTGACTTAAAGCTGTTTGAGCAGAAGCACTCGGCTCTGTTTTCCATACCGAAGATTTCCAGTCTGGTTCCGAGTCTCTGCTCACCACTTGGTACTTTGATGACAAATACAGATCCCTAGAAATTTCACAAGTCATGTAATCATGTTTGTGACTTAAATATATGAATTGCACACAAATAAACAGAAACCGCGGAAATGAATCGAAATCATGTTTTAGGGTCATTTTCAGTTACACCAAAGAGAAATCTGAAAGACCTGCAGCATGTTAACCAGCTGCAACAACATCTAACGCATCATATTAAATAAATACTAATACTCAGGAGATTGAAAAGATTCTTAAGGATTTTCATGGACGTCATTTTCGCTTCAGAAGTGTGGGGGGGGGGGGGACACGGGGGGGGGGGGATCTTTACAGTATGCTCTAATGGAAAACAGGCTTCATCACAAACGGTTGTTTTCCGCTTGGTCCTAGAGCTCAACCAGTGTCAATTTAATATAGCGTAATATTGTTTTTGGATGGTATAAGGTGCAGGGGTCAAACTTGACTTTGGAAAAAGTGGGGGGGACATGTCCCCCCTGTCCCCCCCATCCCCCCCCCCCCCCCCCCCCCCCCCCCACACACACACAAATTACATCCATGGATTTGATAAAACCTCCCCATTGTGGGGTGAGTCCCAATTCTCTTCGTTTTACCGTTCAAACACAGGCAAGCCTCTCCCACGAGGGCGGCCATGACTCCAGTTTTCCACGTTTAATTTGTCACGCCGTCGCTGCAGCATGCTGTCATGTGAGCAGCAAATAACTGGATCAAAAGAGTGTCGGTGTGGTCAGCTTTGGTCGTTTATTTGGCTGAGACGGCAGCTCTTCAGAGACTGAGCGGCTGCGGCGTCAGGCTGTTGTGAGCCCAGCGCTTTGACTGACAGGCACCACTGATTAGAATTGACGCTGCGACGAGATATGTGTCAATGCTCTGACTGCTCATCTCACCGGGCATCCAGAGACGGCCACAACCACCGCCGTGCTGCCACCGCCGCTCTGAGACGGGTGTCACCATGATTAAATCTGCCCTCAAACACGCGCTGAGCGCAGAGTACATGTGCCTGAGAATGGTTTGCTGTGTGTGCGTGCACGCCTCCAGGTTCAAGTGTGTATATAATATATATCTGTGTGTGTGTGTGTGTGTGTGTGTGTATGCAGGTCTCTCACCATCCTGTCTGTATTGCAATAGTGTGTACCTCAGCCCCTCTCCCCCACCCACTCATCAGTCACTCCTCACCACCTCATCTCGCCGCTCCCGCCCCTCCTGTGAACCTATACTCACAGAAAAAATAAATAAATTAAATGTTGGCAGCAGTGGCAGCTGGAAAAGTGCTGGGTGGCAGAGCAAATGTATGATCTTTTTCCCGCTTCTGAATGAGGAAATTACACTTTTGATTCTTTTTTTTTCGACAGAGATGCTGGAAATGTTTATTTTAACGTGACGTAAAAGTAGAATGATGAGCATTTGCGTCTCATTTTCTCAACTCTTATTCTGACTGCAAGGGCTGAGCATTTGTCATGTAGCCAGCAAGTCCTCCTAGAAGGTCTGGCGACAAGTGCTGCTGGTGGTCTTTCCTACTGTTTTGTTCTAATAAGCATGGAGCAGCAGCGAGGTTGTTGTGACACCCCGTCAGCCTGTGGGCTGGACCGCTGCTCGGTGAGCAGCGCAGTAGGATGGACTCCCTATGATTGTGCACTGACCTTTGCATCATGGAAAAGATGACAGGTAATTTAGAGGCCTCAGGGACAGGGGAACTATACGTTTGCTGTCTCCAAACCGTGCACTGCACCAGCCCCGTTCACCTTGAGATGGAAGCAGCGCATCCATACAAACACACGCAGAGGACCGTGTGCACCCGCACGCTTCCAGCATTTCTGCATTCATTTACACACACACATGCAAACACACACACATTGCAAGATCTACCTCAACACCCACCTAACACCCCCATCATTGTCGCACACTCTAATCACCTGCATCATCACAGCCCATCCTCAAACAGCCAAATCACAGGGGGTGCCAAACTGGTAAGGCAGAGGGGGAAAACGATGATTTAGAGTGATAATTGCATAATCACCAGTTGTGATAATTGTAATTGATGACTGCATAATTGCTAATTGCGTTCTTCATGGGAGCCTCTCTTTTCTGTTGTCTCTCTGTCTCTCTCTGCATGTCGCTCCGCAGCCCTCGACTCGGCTCCCCCTTCTCTTTAGATTTGTTCTTCTCTCTTCCTTCATTTGTTTCCCGCTGCTCAACACATGCTAGACACACACACACACACACACACACACACACACACACACACACACACACACACACACACACACACACACACACTAGCGGGTACCGGGAGTATTCTCTGAGGCTTATCAGTGAGTATTTCCCAGCAGCCGTGTCCCAGAGGCTGTGCTCTGCCCACTCTGTTCCTGTGTGAAGAGTTATGGAGGGGCGCTAACAGGTTTCCTTTGTCTCTCTCTTGCTGCTCTGCCCCAGGCTTCACTCTTGTTTGTGAAACCATCCCGCGGCCAACCACATTCCCTCGGTAGCTGTATATTTGATCACAAAACAGGTGAAAAACAAAGAACGTGCTGTGATCCAGCGCTAGGACCAGGACCGCGTTTCTCCTCCAAAGAGGACGGAGGGTTCTGGTCGCGCCTTTAGCCGCAGCTCTATCCAGCGGCTCTACCTGCTGTCATCTACAGGTATGAGAGTTTGGCTCAGAAATGCCGTCTGGTGGATCCTTAACGCAACTCTGTTCAGCTCACGTTAGTCATGACACATTTAGCATGTTTTGACAAAGGTAAGAGTGAGCTGGCGGGGTAGAGTGGGTCCCAACGTGAGAAGGTATCAGGCAGGCGGTGATTGATGTCTCTGCTGGCGTCTGTAGGCAGGTTAATGGTGTGATTGTGGAAGTAATCTCCGTGTTCTCTCGTTAAAGGATGATGGAGGGCCCAGAGATCCTGTGCAAATCTGCAAGATGAAGAGCTAGCTGCTGCCTGTGAAGCATCTTCAGTGTTGTATTTATTTTTGTGTACTTGTGCAACCGAGGCCTCATTTGATTTGTGCCTTAGAGGAAGTCAGAGCAGCAGCAGACTGGCAGAGAGAAGCTGATGAACAGGTCTGGGTTCAGCCACCCAGCTAGACCGACATGAAGTTCAGGTGTAAACAGACTGGAGTTACTTTGTCTTGTCACAAAGTGTGTGTGTGTGTGTGTGTGTGTGTGTGTGTGTGTGTGTGTGTGTGTGTGTGTGGGCTGGGCTACAGTCAAGCAGCATTTGTAGATGATCTCATAACTTGACCATGGTTCCACGAACCGTGTTTCGCACATTTTGGCCGTTTGTGAACCCACACCGACACACACGCCCTGGTAAGATGAGAGGGTAACGTGTGGAGGGTTAGTTGGGGGTAGAGCTGAGAGAAACAGCAGCTCCGTGTATCAGGGAGCAGGCTGAGAGCTGCAGACTATTGCATGGGTATTGATTGGGCTCCAGCCCTTTCCATTTTCCATGAACTCCTCTGAGCTGCTCCGAGTGGGAGTGATGGGGGAGATTTGCTTGATCTTTATGATATTTCTTTAAACATGATGCTGTCGTTATGCCTCCCCGGGGAACTCAGCAGCCATTTCCAGTAAATCAAAGGCTCTCTGTCTCTCGCTGTTTTCCACTCACCTTATTTATAACCCCACTAAACAGCCCAACACACCGCCACCGTTCTCATAAGGGTTTGCTGCCTTTTGCAACATGAACATTTTTCAAGTGCGGCTCTGCAGGTGAGGAGCAGCTAGACTCGGGCTTGCTGCTGTCGTGGGCTTCGTTGAGCCAATCGGACTGTAATCAGTGACAGGAAATGACAATAATTTAAATCGGTCTGACCTCGGGGCGGGGTGGGCCCTACATGGAGGATGATCTGATTCCATTGCTATAAAGTAGAAAACAAAACTAAAGCAGGCCTGAGGTGTTAGCAGGAGCTAGGAGCAGGGCAGCCCACATACCCACTAGTGCAGGTGCCCTCTCCATGGGGCCAGGTGGTGGCTAATGCGCCTTCTTTGTCCCTCCTAATGAATCGTTAATTGGTTTGCATCACCCGTGGAGTCGGGGACAGCAGGTACTGAATGCTGCCGGTGATGGAGGCCACTGACGAGTGTCCTCGAACACACCATGCAGCACCTACCATTAACAGGCCAAATGTCACCTTGCAACACGCAGCAGCTGCTTGACACTTAAACGGGGACATTGTTTGAGCCTTCGCTTGGTGTCCCTGCTTCTATTGTTGAAGCTGCAGCAGAAACACAACGTTTTTATTTGGTCATGCGTTGAAACAAGTTAAAAGTTTATTCCGGGCAGTTATGATAGCAGGATGTTGCCGTTACAGGAGGATCTGTTGTTTAGCTCTGCTGCTCGTGTCCTGCCAGGATGATCTGAGGGTGACTCCTGCTCTTGTTGACGTTAAATGATTTATTTGGTTAGAATATTCTTTTTATTGGGAGTTTGTCACACATTCAGTTGTTGGGTTAACCCTGATCATCTTTACACGGCTGTTTCTGATGCCCTAACCTAAACGATTATGGGTAACGTGCCTTTTGTCGCTTCTCTCCAGCTAAGTGTTCATTTAACCCAAACCCTAGTCCATACCAGGGTCCATGTTTACTTTAATGGTGTCTTCTTCCCTGCAGGTGGTTGCTCTGAATAAGCGCAGTAAGGAGGCAGAGTCTGCGTTCCTGGGAATCTACAAACAGCTTATCGAGGCCCCGGGTGAGTCTCCCACCGAGACCAGAGATGTGCATCTTCCCTAACAACCCCACACCTCTCACTAGCATCACTTATACAATTATCTCTCCTCCCGTTGAAGATCGGTCTCACCTCTGTGAGTGGACCGGCTCCCTCACCAGACATCTCACGGCTGTGTGAAGCCTCACACTCAAACCTGCATGGATATAAGAGACATAAAACCCTATACCCTTTGGCTCTTATCTGTTTTTCAACGTCTGCGCTCTCTGAGTGGTTTCCAAAACTCTGCATGAGGCCACTTCAGAACCCAGCGTTGATCTTGGAGTGTAGCCTGGCTGAGAAGCGAACGTGTCCGTAAGAAGCTCTGCTGTTGATTGTAGAGGGCCAATTAAAATCCCAACACAAGTCTGGCTTTGTACGGAGCGCAGGCCTGATGAGGGGACGGGGGCAACAGCGGCTAGCTAGGGTGAAGGAAAGACGTGTTTATGTTAGTTCAGTTGTTATTTTTTAAATATGTTTTCTGTTCCAGGGCACATGGAGCGTATTGCTCTGTGTTGCAGGAGATGGCAGCAAAACGCAGCCCAGTCTCAGTCTGGATCAGAGGAACACTTGTGGCAGGAGTAGAGAATGCTGTTTACAGATTCAATGAATACAAGATAAAAGCCTGCGTCAGTGAAATGCAGCGGCGGCGCCGGCAACTGACTTTTAAAGGTCTCACTTTTTCCTTGAAGTCCCCTGCTTGATATTGCACCACCACCCACACACACACACACACACACACACACACACACACACACACAAACAAACACACACACACACACACACACACACACACACACACACACACACACACACACACACACACACACACACACACACACACACACACACACAAACACACACACACACACACACACACACACACACACACACACACACACACACAAACACACACACTTTGAATGAAGTTATTTCCTTGATAAGAACGCCTGGCGTGCTCGTCTGGTTCTTCTAACTTCCACCTTTTACATTCTACTGTAATTCAAACCCTTTTATATGGAGCTGCTTCAGTTCTTTGTTAAACAAAAGGTGCTTGTCCTCCTGGTTCAGCTTCTACTTGTATGAAACAAATCATTTGTTTAGAAGATGCTGAACATTTTATTCTGACACACTGATACTTATGTAAACTTAAACTCAGTTAGCAGCTATTAAAGGTACATTATGCAGAAAAGAAGTAAAAATTTATTTTATTTTATTTTTTTATTTCATTCAAAATAAAAACAAATAAAACATATAAACAATAAGAAATACGTAACAAAAAAATCTAATTTGAACGAAAAGGAGCAGAATGAAGAAAAACATCTTATACTTTCTGCCCCCTTTTTCCAGAAGAAATAATCAGTTTATACAGGGAGTGCAGAATTATTAGGCAAATGAGTATTTTGTCCACATCATCCTCTTCATGCATGTTGTCTTACTCCAAGCTGTGTAGGCTCGAAAGCCTACTACCAATCAAGCATATTAGGTGATGTGCATCTTTGTAATGAGAAGGGGTGTGGTCTAATGACATCAACACCCTATATCAGGTGTGCATAATTATTAGGCAACTTCCTTTCCTTTGGCAAAATGGGTCAAAAGAAGGACTTGACAGGTTCAGAAAAGTCAAAAATAGTGAGCTATCTTGCAGAGGGATGCAGCGGTCTTAAAATTGCAAAGCTTCTGAAGCGTGATCATCGAACAATCAAGCGTTTCATTCAAAATAGTCAACAGGGTCGCAAGAAGCATGTGGACAAACCAAGGCGCAAAATAACTGCCCATGAACTGAGAAAAGTCAAGCGTGCAGCTGCCAAGATGCCACTTGCCACCAGTTAGGCCATATTTCAGAGCTGCAACATCACTGGAGTGCCCAAAAGCACAAGGTGTGCCATACTCAGAGACATGGCCAAGGTAAGAAAGGCTGAAAGACGACCACCACTGAACAAGACACACAAGCTGAAACGTCAAGACTGGGCCAAGAAATATCTCCAGACTGATTTTTCTAAGGTTTTATGGACTGATGAAATGAGAGTGAGTCTTGATGGGCTCGTGGCTGGATTGGTAAAGGGCAGAGAGCTCCAGTCCGACTCAGACGCCAGCAAGGTGGAGGTGGAGTACTGGTTTGGGCTGGTATCATCAAAGATGAGCTTGTGGGGCCTTTTCGGGTTGAGGATGGAGTCAAGCTCAACTCCCAGTCCTACTGCCAGTTTCTGGAAGACGCCTTCTTCAAGCAGTGGTACAGGAAGAAGTCTGCATCCTTCAAGAAAAACGTGATTTTCATGCAGGACAATGCTCCATCACACGCGTCCAAGTACTCCACAGCGTGGCTGGCAAGAAAGGGTATAAAAGAAGAAAAACTAATGACATGGCCTCCTTGTTCACTTGATCTGGACCCCATTGAGAACCTGTGGTCCATCATCAAATGTGAGATTTACAAGGAGGGAAAACAGTACACCTCTCTGAACAGTGTCTGGGAGGCTGTGGTTGCTGCTGCACGCAATGTTGATGGTGAACAGATCAAAACACTGACAGAATCTATGGATGGCAGGCTTTTGAGTGTCCTTGCAAAGAAAGGTGGCTATATTGGTCGCTGATTTGTTTTTGTATTGTTTTTGAATGTCAGAAATGTATATTTGGGAATGTGGAGATGTTATACTGGTTTCACTGGTAAAAATAAATAATTGAAATATGTATATATTTGTTTTTTGTTAAGTTGCCTAATAATTATGCACAGTAATAGTCACCTGCACACACAGATATCCCCCTAAAATAGCTAAAACTAAAAACAAACTAAAAACTACTTCCAAAAACATTCAGCTTTGATATTAATGAGTTGTTTGGGTTCATTGAGAACATGGTTGTTGTTCAATAATAAAATTATTGCTCAAAAATACAACTTGCCTAATAATTCTGCACACCCTGTATACAATTTCCATTTGTCAGACACATACAGATTCATTTTAAACTTTGTCCTGTTCTAAATTCCAGTGCGATCCTGATCGTTGATTTAATTTACATTTTCATAATTATTTAGTACACTCAATTTGGTACATTTTTTTAATATATTAAATGACAGAGTTTTTTAAATTTCCCTTTTAAGCTTATTCCATAATTTAACAACATTTACAGATATATATGCCATTCCTTAATTTTAGTTCTAAATCTAGGTTTTGTAAACGCATCAGTTTCTTTCAGCATGTAATTACTAGTTCTCTTTTCAAATATCCCCTGAATGTTTGTTGGCTGAGTACCTAAATTGGCTTTATACACGGTTTGTAAGATTTTCCAGTCTTTTAAATCATGAAATTTCAGTAATTTATATTTAATAAACAATGGGTTTTATGGATCTCGACAGCCACTATAACTGATGATTCTCAGAGCTCTTTTCTGTAAAATAAATAAGGGTTGTGTGTAGTTTTTGTATGTTGCTCCCCAGATTTCTACACAATAAGTCAAGTATGGAACCATCAGTGAATTGTACAATGCCAACAAACCAGAATTAGTCAGTAAAAACTTGACTCTACGTAATACTCCTAAGGATTTGGCAATTTTACCTTTTTTGTAACTAATATGGGATTTCCATGTCAAGTCTTCATCAATAAGAACTCTAAGAAATTTAGTTTCTTTTACTCTTTGAATTGCAATCCCATCTATTTCCAAGACACATCACTGTTATTTTTATCATTAAACAGTATAAAATTTGTTTTATTAAGATTCAGTGTCAATCTATTTATATCAAACCAGTTTTTAATTTTAATCAGTTCATCATTTATCACTTTAGCCACCTCCTCACTATTTGATCCTGAGTAAAACAGTGTTGTATCATCTGCAAATAGAATGGTACCGAGTGTCTTAGATACATTTACCAAGTCGTTAATAAACAAAATGAACAGTTTTGGTCTGAGGACTCCACAAATAATATCACATAGTTTTGATTTATGGTCCTTTATCTGAACAAACTGTTTCCTTTTTTCTAAATAAATTTTAACCCATTGATGAGCCACACCTCTTATTCCATACTGACTTACTTTTCAAAGTAACCTTGAGTGCTCAATGACGTCAAAAGCTTTTTTTCAAATCAATGAAAACACTAACAAAGTCATTTTTATTGTCAATTGCTGTTGATATTTTATCCGTTAATTCCATTATTGCCATTGCTGTGGAATGTTTAGTTCTAAACCCATGTTGTTCATTGTTTAAAATATTATTTTTTCGATGAATTTATCCAACCTTGATACAAATACTTTTTCCAATATTTTAGAAAACTGTGGAAGCAGTGACACCGGCCTGTAATTATTGAAACTATGTTTATCACCACTCTTATCCAAAGGAATGACTTTCATTGTTTTCATTGTGTCAGGAAAACTTCCTATAGAAAGTGATAGATTACAAATGTAAGTGAATGTTTGAATGACAGATTCTATGATGGTTTTAACAGTTATCATGTCCAGGTCCTGATAATCGGTTGATCATTTGTTTCCACAGTTTTTGACAATGTTTCGTATTTCTTCTTTATCTACTTTGTCAAGGACAATACTATTGACAGTACTAATCATTGTGGTCAATTTATCTTCTATTATTGGTTTGTTCTCCATCAAATTCCTACCTACATTTACAAAAAAACCATTAAACTCATCAGTGATTTCTTTATCATCATAAATATATTTTTTGTCCTTGACAAAGGGATTTGGAATACTGGATTTTGTTTTCTCTCTATTAGTCACACTGTTTCATATTCCCCAAGTAGCTTTTGTGTTATTTTTATTCTGATTCAATAGATTACCATAATAATCTTTTTTTTGCTTCCTAATTATTGTTACCAATTAATTTTTATATTTTTTTTATATCTATCTTCTGCTTCCCTTGTTTGCAATTTTAAAAAACTCCACAAAAATGACATCCTGTGGTAAAATTTGGTTACTGCAACCACTTTGAACAACTCTGGAGCTTTTTGTCGGCCATCGCCAAATTACAAATGTCGGCACTGC